CGGCCCTCTCTTGCAGCTTTTAAGATTCTCTCTTTGTCTTTGAGTTTTGCCAATTTGACTACAACGTGTCTTGGAGAAGACCTTTTTGTGTTGAATACGTTTGGGGATCTGTGAGCTTCCTGAATCTGAAGATACGTGTCTTTTCCTATACCTGGGAAGTTTTCTGCCACTATTTTGCTGAATGTTTTCAACGCAATCTCCTTTTTCTTCCCCTTCTGGAATACCCATGACTCAGATATTTGAGTGCTTAAGGNTTCCTGAATCTGAAGATATGTGTCTTTTCCTATACCTGGGAAGTTTTCTGCCACTATTTTGCTGAATGTTTTCAACGCAATCTCCTTTTTCTCCCCCTTCTGGAATACCCATGACTCAGATATTTGAGTGCTTAAGGTTGTCTGATATCTCTCTTAGATTTTCTTCAATGTTTTTATTTATTTATTTATTTAGTCTGCTTGTGTTATTTCAAACAGCCCATCTTCAAGGTCAGAAGTTCTCTCTTCTGCTTCTGCAAGCCTGCTCGTTAAACTCTGTTGTTTTTCACTTGGTTGAATGAATTCTTCAGCTCACCAAGCTCTGCTACATTCTTTTTCAGGGCATTGATTTCCTTGTACATTTATTCTTTCAGGTTCTGTATACTTTTCCTCATTTCATCATGTTGTCTAGTTGAGTTTTCTGGTATCTCATTTAGTTTCCTTAGAATTAGCACTCGAGGGGCTGGCCTGTGGCTCACTCGGTAGAGTGCGGTGCTGGTAACACCAAGGCCACGGGTTTGGATCCCATATAGGGATGGCCGATTAGCTCACTGGTTGAGCGTGGTGCTGACAACACCAAGTCAAGGGTTGAGATCCCCTTACCGGTCATCTTTAAAAAAAAAGAAAAAGAAAAAAAGAATTATCACTCGAAATTCCTTGTCAGACATTTCAAGGGCTTCTTGTTCTATAGGGTCTAGATCTTGAGAGCTATTACCCTTTGGTGATGTACTGTCTTGATTTTTCATATTTCTGGTGTCTTTCCTTTGATGTTTAGTCATTGTGGCAGGGGATTTCATGGTCCACTGGTTTGACACTATTGTCTGGCTAGGATATTGCTGGGGCTGCCAATTTGGTATGGCTGCCTAAGTGTCTGCTCGGTTGCCCACTCGTGCCTCAAGTGTGTGGTCACCTCGGATCATGGGCCTCTCAGGGGAGGTGCCTCTCTGGTCAGCACACACTCAGCGGGGCTGGGTATGGGGTCAGGTGGCAGTGGCAAGGCCTACCTGCAGTCTGCCTGGAAAACTGCCATCAGCTACTCCTTACTGTCTTCAGCACAGGAGAAAGACAACGCATCCTGACTAGAGAGCCAGGCAATCGCTGCAGCGACAGGCACCCACAGCTGCACTGGACCCTGAGGCCTGGGCTAAAGACACTGTTCCAGATTGGGACCACAATGAGAAAGAGGGGAGAAACTAGCTCCACTGATACCGGGAATGCAAATGCTTTTCAAAAGCAATGTGTGTGCTTTGGAGAAGCTGTTTGTTCAGCTTTTTCTAAGATTGGGCTTGATTTCATTCCATTAAAAAATATCACATTCTGCATCCCGAAAAATATATATGCCTGTATAATAGATGGGGACATTTTTGAAGTATTGTCATCTTCAATGGTATAGAATGGATATGCTGATCACCAAACAGGCCTTGACAAACTGGTAACATGCAATGAAAAGCTTTTGGTGTGATAAAGAATATAGTAGCAGAGATCCAATACAGCTGTTGTCTGGAAGCACACAACTGACGCTAGGTCAATGAGTCTAGGCCAAGTTTTCAGCTGCCAAGTGGCAAGACCATTTGTTATCCATTTATTGAATATCTAAGCTGATGGAAATTTATAATATAGCTGGCCAAACTGAAGACAGCAAAGAACAGGAAGGCCCAGGATCAACTAAGTAGGGAGGGCTTAGGTTATATTTGTCAAGTTCTCTCAAACAGTAAATCAGAAAGAAAGGAACAAAAGACACTTAAGACATCCAAACAAAAATCAA